TTGGTTTTGGTTTGGGTGTGCAATGCCGGGTTTATGATGATTACTAAACACACAGGTAATGGTCTTTAACAGAAAGGTTTTTCACAGAAGCCAGAGCAGGGCCTGGCCGGGACGGCTAGTATATATATATATATATATATATATATATATATATATATATATATATATATATATATATACGTGTGTGTATGTGTGTGCGACAGTCTGGAAAAAACAATTACGCTGATTGTCGTTCCCTAAAACTTCACTGGACGCCAATTAAATTCCCGTTAAGATCCTTTAAAAATGATGATAAGTAATGTCAGAAAAAAATTAAAATTGTAGCGGTGCTAATTCGTTTAGCACAGTCTTTTTATGATTCACGTTCGGATTTGGTCTGTGTGGATGATACAACTATTAAGAAGGTGATTCCAAAAAGTTAAGAACCATTGCTTAAGGTGTAGAAGGTGCAAGCCTTATTTGTTCTACTTTTGGTCGTATCTTTAGAATAATTTCGATTAAATGTAGGCCTATATCACAATTTTGAATTATCAGTTGAACAAAGTAATAATTAGTACAATATACTAATTTTCTTCTCTCTTAAAATATTGGCAAAGAGTGTCGCTTCCCACCCACTCGATCCGACAGTCTGCTATTTTACTGATAGGATAGCGATACAAGAATCCGTGATATTTATTTCTCTTTTATGCAGTGATCCAGACAAGATGTAATGCAATCAAGTAAAAGTATCTGATCTCTCACGGTGCAGTTGAGAGAAGCGTAAGAATCGTACAAAGAACTAGTCGCGTTATTACTTATCAAAACTTGGTAGTGAAATCGTACATTAAGTGTTAATACAATTGATTTCTTTTCTAAGTGTTAAAATATTTATATAGTAAGCGATCCATTACAAATCCTTGCGATTTTATTTGGTGATAAGTGCCCCACCATCTTGCACAAAAATTGTAGAGTGGATTTTAAACGTCACTAACTCTTTTTTTTTATGTTACACAATCGTAAAATATGCTTTAGTTCAATGTGTTTTTCTTTTCTGAGTGATATCGGTTATTTATTCCTTAATCCGGTGTGAATTTTTCCGATTTTAGTCTTCGAAAAAGCGCCCCCCCCCCCCTCTAGGAAAGCTGGATAGCGGTTGTTCCGGTCACTATTTCTTAAGGATATACGTTTTACAGTTACACAATCAAGGTAGAAAACAGTTAAATCAGTATGCAAGGGCTCTCAGCCGTTAAATTTCTTTACTTTGACTGTTTATAATTCAAAACTGCAGCTTAAAATGAACTTTGTTAAAAAAGTTTCTACCCCTTTTGGCGCCCCCTAGGGTCGGCGCCCGGGGCGGCCGCCCTCCCCGCCCTCCCCTAGCTACGCCTCTGGCAAGAAAATACGTGCGGCGTCAAAACGGTCAATGACAAAACGGCCGCCTTAAATCTACCCCGTAAAAAGGGCCAGCGACAAATGGACCACTATTCAATAGTTATTGGATAAGTGAAATAAATCTATCTGGAACTCCATACTTCATATATATATATATATGCCTAAATATTATAATATAACCTGCTATAAAGATGACTGGACTCGTTTTATTTGTGGCGGAATTACTTGTATAAGGGGCCGTCCATAAATGACGTCACATTCGTAGGGGGGTCCGTACATTTGTGTGTGACGGTGTGTGACGAGGGGGAGGGGGGGGGGGGTCAGATCACGTGACGTCAGTTTTTTGCATTATAGAAAAGCAGAGTTTAAAAACATGTTTTAGCCGTTATTTCGCGTTTTAGAAAACTGTTTTAATAAATTGTAATAGGAATTGATCAAAATACTCTATGTTGGCAGAGTTCTGACAAGATTTTGGAAAAATATCGATGTTTTAAGAAAAATTTAACATAAATTTTGAGGGGGTTGTAGGCTGAGCTGTGTCGTCATTTTAGGGGGGGGGGGGGGTCTGACAAAAGTGCGGGAGTAGTCTCCCCTAAACTTTCTCGTATATTCTTATATAGGCCTATCACTAGGGGAGATGGCACTTCCAGTGCAATCGGGTATAGACATTATTATTTTTTTGTTTTTATAAATACTACAAAAAGAATTGCGCACCAAAATGAACACATTCAATGTGTGTATAATAGGGCGGAAAATTAGTAATTTTTAAAAAGTCAATTAAATATCTAATTAAGTCACATTTTATGGCACAGTTCATTTTCATTGAGTCTTTACCTGCATGAAAATTTTGAAAAAATCGGTCCAGTAAACTAGAAGTGATATTTTTTAGATATCGGAAATACCGTAAAATACTACTTTCGGTCTCCGAAAATCACTCAAAATGTGATAGATTCAAGATAATAAGATATCATACCTATTTATAAAAATTCGTTCATCTAAATGAAACGGTACTTACGATGTCGGTAATTTAGAAAGCGGAAATAGAGTAAAATGCCACTTTCGGTTATCGGAGGTCACTCAAAAATTGAAAATAATTCAAGAGTAAGATCCAATTATATATATATATATATATATATATATATATATATATATATATATATATATATATATATATATATATATATATCGTCTACCTAATTGAAACAGTACTCAAGTACTCAAGTTACTATAGCCGAAAATATGATGACGTCTCGCATTTAAAAAATATTTTTTTAAACTGAAGTATTTAGTGGTTACTTACATTTCAAATTATTTTTTGCTTATTGTACGGACAATCTATTTACGAATCTAATAATGGACATTATTTGGTAAACTTTTCAGTATTAAATAGTGAATAGCAATGTATTTGGCTATACCGAACTTGCTAGCAGTTAACTGTAGCAATATTATTTTAGTTTCCCTACGAAGAGAGAAGACTCAATATTTTCAGAAATTTCAACTAAACGTGCTTAATTTAGTTACATCCCCTTGCTTAGAGGCTAATGGGTTTTTAGAGAGAGTGGGGAAGGGGTTAGATTTTCTGTGATGTTGAGGGGCTCAGTGGCGTCGCTAGGTCGGGTGTCACCCGGTGCGGCACTTCGTGGTGTCAACCTCCCCCCCTCCCCAAGAAACAAAGTTTGTTTATATATATATATATATATATATATATATATATATATATATATATATATATATATGTGTGTGTGTGTGTGTGTGTGTGTGTGTGTCCGCCTACATTGCCATTTGATATAAAAATATGCTGCATACGCGTACGTGTTAGTGCATAAGCTTTAATCAATGCCGACATAATGGTAGCGTTAATAATGTAGTAGTTACCTCACAAGTTAAAGACAGTTACAAGTACTATGGACATTTCGACCCAAGGTCTTCGTTAGCACACAACAGTGTGATTACAGATTAGACAAATAAAGACAAACAGTAACACATTTTTTGACTTAGCTCGACAGCTATTTGTCTAATCTGTAATCACACTGTTGTGTGCTGACGAAGACCTTGGGTCGAAACGTCCATAGTACTTGTAACTGTCTTTAACTTGTGAGGTAACTAATACTATCTGTTTTATTACTAATTACATTAACCTCACTGCAGCTACCATTTGTTTTTTTATCTTAGCGTTAATAATACAGTTCGATGTAGCTTTGTTTTCTCTAGAGTTACAAAGTTCACGTCAATGTGTCACCCTCATACCCTTGTAATAATTGTCGATTTGTACTTAAAAGATTATTTGACTTTGATTAATCATTAATGAAAGTGGCAAAAAGCACTTGTTTTCTGTACATTTTGCTATTTTTTTGCCATGGTGTCACCCCACTAAATGGTGTCACCCGGTGCGATCCGCACCCCCGCCCCGCCATGGCTGCGCTTCTGTGGAAATTGCAAAAAAAGGCAATTTCCTTCTGTACATTATGCAATTTTTTGCCATGGTGTCACCCCACTAAATGGTGTCACCCGGTGCGATCCGCACCCCCGCCCCGCCATGGCTGCGCTTCTGTGGAAATTGCAAAAAAAGGCAATTTCCTTCTGTACATTATGCAATTTTTTTGCCTTGGTGTCACCCCCCCCCCAATGGTGTCAACCGGTGCGGTCCCGCCCTCACTGGATGGGTGGAGTAAAAATCGTTTTTTTTTTGGGACTTTTTTCATCCAAAATAGAATTAGTAGACAAGAGTTTTCTTCTGATTATTTAGGCATGCCATCTATATTTTTTTAACTCATATTTAAAATGTTAACCATGCAAAGATCCTAGATACGGTTGTTATAGATGATAGATAACTATGGGGTTATGTTTTGTTTTGCAGAATTCTAGGCCACTACTAGATCTATAGATCAGATTATAGTATTAATCTCAGGGGCGTAGCGAGGGGGGGGCGGGGGGGGGGGTGCGGACCGCACCGGGTGACACCATTTAGGGGGGTGACACCAAGGCAAAAAAATAGCAAAATTTATAGAGAAAAACTTGAGGGGGGGGGTGCAAATCGAAAGTTCGAGGGGGGTTGCAAGTCGAAAACTTGAGGGGGGGGGGGTGCAAATCGAAAATTTGAAAGTTTGTCCCCGGGAAGGGTCGCTACGCCTCTGGGGGGGGGGGGTGACACCATTAAGTGCCGCACCGGGTGATACCCGACCTCGCTACGCCACTGATTAATCTAGATCTATAAATCTAGTTTGTTTAGTACAGCACCCAAGCAGTGTTTCTTCCAGACTTTTTTCTCCGGGGGGGGGGGGGGCACTTGAAATTTTCGGGGGGGGGGGGCGGTAGATTTTCTTCGGGGGGGGGGCGGACACTGTTAAAAGTATATATTTTCTATATAAATTATATAAATTTCATTTCGTTCGGGGGGGATCGGTAAAAAATTTTCGGGGGGTCTTCGCCCCCCGAAGAGATGCCTGGAAGAAACTCTGCACCCAAGTGACCAGTACTTTTTAATTTATGCAATTGATAAATATAAAATAAGTTTTAAAATCATATGAGGTTTTCATATTTATTGAAAATAAACACAATGCAATGTAAGAGCATGCATTGATTTTAATTCAAAATATTTAAAATTTAAGCCATTTTTAATACTTTCAGTTTCAGTTTGATTCTTATCTCCCTAATGACGTCATAATATAGTCGAGTAGTAGATTCTAGAGATCTAGCACCTTTCAGATTTTTGTGATTGCAGTCACAAACAAGATCTAGATCTAGAATCTTGATTTATCTAGCTAGAAGTAAGACGTTTGTTTGTGAATTTTATTTGTTTAGAATTAGATCATTAATCCTTGCATGTAGCCTAATTATCACATAATTAGTAATAATTACCTAAGGAGACATATTAAAAAATTTAATAATTTTTATTTATGCAGCCTATACTATTATTTTATTTTAACATTATTATTATATTATATTATTATTAATAAATATTAATTAGGCCTAGATCTAATAATTATTAATCAATATTTGCAACTTATTTAAGATTCTACAGTAGGCCTACACCTTTAATTTTTTTAAAGAAGTAACAGCAACCAGTAAAATATACTAGTCTATATAGGCCTACCAATTTATAGACAGCTAGCACCTATTACTGTACCTAAGAAAAAAAGATTACTATTTACTTCAACAGCTTTTCCAAATATTTCATATTCAATGGATTGCCCACGTTCCTCTTGTATCTATATTATGTATATACTAGTATATATAGGCCTACAGATACTATGTCTGAAACTATTGATTATATAGTAATAGTATGCTATTATTTTATTAACTTTTTTTTTGGGGGTGGGGGAGAGAAAAAAATGTAGTGAATAGCCCCTTCTTCCTTATGAAACATTTCCTGTTGTAGTATTATAAGGGCTCTTCAACAGCCCCCTTCCCTTAATAATTCTTTCAGGGGTCCATGGGCTTATGGTACAATAACCTTCTTCAATTATTTTACAACGAGCCGACCCCCGGCATATCATACGCCGCTATTTAGTTGTTTTATTTTTACTTTTCAGTAATTCATAATTTGTGAATTCGACAGTCCCAATGCTGCCACTGAAAATATTTGCTTTAAAACACTATCAGTAGGTCGTTAAGAACGATACTACCCCACCCTCCTTTCCCCCAACCCCTACCCTACACCCCACCCCCCCCCCCCCCCCCGTGAAAGCAGCCTCCTCTTAGTTACCTCCACTAAGTTTAAAATAGTTTCAAACTAAATTATCTGCCCCTTATAGCCGTCACTAAACCCGGCTCTACGAATGTAAAGATTTAGCATGAACCACAGCTCACCAGACCATGTAGGGGTGGGGTGGTAGGGAGCGCGCTTACAGCTTGTTTTCTAGCGTCTGCCAGAAGAGAATTATATATATAGATAATTAAATAAATTATTTTAAAATAATTAGTATTTTTCTGTTTAAGTTATTGTGGTCCATGGTTGTACAAGATTAAGCTATGGAAATTGTCAGGTACAACAAACGACTTTCAAAAGCCATCCAGGAGCTCTTCATTAACATGATAGTTCCGTCCAATTTTCTGCTTCTCATACACAGACACAATCCTGATGTGTTAACTGATGAAGATATTGTAAGTTTTTTCACTAAGCTTTTTAAAAGCCTTTATCTGGAAAAGACAATAAACAAGTATATTTGGAAACCTAGAAAAACAAAACATTACTAGTTTGGGGTACTTAGTTGTTTGAAGCCTGAGAGGCTTTTAAGACATAACACATTTTTTTGTTTAAATTTTAAGGGGGTATGCTCAGTTTTTTTTTCTAATTTTACAATCTCTGAAGCCTTTTAAATACTTATACTATACCATGTTAAGCAAAAGTTTGAAAACAATTTTGGTTGACATGAAAACCTGAATTAACCTCAGCCATTGTGAATTTTTTGGTACTTTCAAAAAACGCTAAAGCTTTTTTATTTATGCACTTATTGCAATCAAATCTACACTGCTTTTATTTTTAGTATATATTAAAATAAAACTTTTGTCCAGACAATGTTTGATAAAGCTACTGGTTAGAGGTCCCAAAAAAATTACACTCTTTTTAGTATGCGAAAGTTTGCATATTAATTACTCTAAACTTTTGTCCTATGTACAGAGGCGTAGCGACCCTTCCCGACGCCCTGGGACAAACTTTCAGTTTGCACCCCCCTCCCCCTCAAACTTTCAATTTGCACCCCCCTCCCCCTCAAACTTTAAATTTGCACCCCCTTCCCCCTCAAACTTTAAATTTGCACCCCCCCCCCCCTCGAACTTTCAATGTGTGTTTCCAACCGGGGACATTTGTCCCCCCTCCCCTCGCTACGCCTCTGCCTATGTAAGCCATCACAATTCCCTCATGACAAAAGTTTTTAAAAGTTTTATTATAACATGATGAACAAAAACTGAAAATATGGTGGGGATTGTACAATTAATAAAAAAGTTGTAGGCTTTTTAGTGTTAAAACTGCAAAATGTGAAAAACAGAAAAAAGTAATGTAAGTAGGTCATGAAATTCCATTTCTGTTCACTTTGTAGTGCCAGTTAAAGGCTTTGGGTGTTTCTGAGAAGACAGAAAATACGATTATCAAATACATGAGAAATCCAGCTTTCCAATGATGCCAAATAGAATATGATGATGGATATTGAACGTTTTGTAGACAGCGTATAAGATTAGAAAACAAAAAGATTATTTTTTAATTTATGGAATCATAAAATTTTTATTTTAAAGACATTAAAAAAAATGTTCTCATAAAAGTTATTATTTTCTTGATACAAAAATGGACAAAGTATCTTAAAGTGCAAGAAACCCATTTATATGAAAAATAAAGATTTTGATTTTTTACTGAGCATATCATCCCCTTAATTATTAATATTATTAAAGTATAATTAAAAAAAAAACTTTTGACATAAAGCCTATTGTATGAAGTCTTAAGTAAAAATCCTGAAAATAAAATTTTACTAATTGTATGATGCAAATTTTGCCAGAGTCGCCTGCGTCTGCGCTTACAAAGCAGCATTGCCAAAGAGATTAACTTGGACCTTTTAGACTGCATGACACATTATGAGGGCTGGTTTGACTGTTTGTTAAAGGTTTTATCTGACCCTGAGTTAAAGCAAGCTAACTTAATCCCAGCTTTTCAGAGAATAAAAAGTAAGCTACTTGTAATTTATTAATTTATTTTTGTTGTTTCAAGAAACAATCTTGAAGGTTATTCACATTTTAAACAAGTTTTAACTCTCCTTCTTAGACGTTAGATGTTAAAAAAAATATTTTTGGCAGAATTCACTTTACACTGTCTTATAAGTTATATTTAGATATTTCATTGCACTTTAAAATATTACATTATAGTCATAAGAATAAATATCCTGTTTTTAATATAGCTTTAATTGGAAACATGAAGCATTTTGACATGATTGATATAATATTTTATTCATTCATTTTTATGACCATAATTAGAGAGAACTAGTTTGTTAAAATGTTTTGTTATCTAGGGGAAGTTGATGATGCCTATCCAAACCAGGGGAGTCAGGCAATGGTCAGTATTAACTAAAGTCCTGGTCATTTTTTCTTGACCTATATATAAGGTTCAGTGTTAACAAATATGATACTAGTTGTATAAAAGTTTGACACATAAATACAGTAGTTTTATTTTTTGTGAGTTGATGTCTGGTTTCCTGTTATATTTAAATGTATTTGGAGTAAAATGCATAATGATTTTAAAGGCTCACATTTAAAAAATCTATAAATAAACTTGGCACAACACTGCACTACTGGGAAAGTTGGGTGTGTTCAGATTTTAGTGTGGACATACTTTAACATTGTAAAAGTAATGTTATAAACAGAATTTTAGCCACTATTCTATTATGTGTTGTTTAAACGTTTTAAAGAATTTTGATTAAAAACAGTCATTATGCTCAATGTTGACCCAATGCAGTAAATATTTTAGAAAGAAATAGCTAGTTTAAAAAAAAATTGCCATTCATGGATGGGGGGGGGGGGGGGGGGGAGATCTGGCTTTGTGTGTAGTTTTTAGTTTTGGAGGGGTAAAAAAATGAACTTTAACAAACATGACATTATTTATGGATGACCATGTTATACAATTATGAAGCTTAACCTGCTAGATTTCAAAATTGAGAAATTTTCAGATGAAAAGTTTTATCAATGTCCTTTCTATCAAGTAATCAGGTTTGTTCCTCTTATTTGCATGGCATCATTTTACAGGCACGCGATGTTGTCCCCAGTTTAGAGAGCTCCAGGTGCTCTAGGGAACTTTTACTACAGTCTGATTCTGTTCATTTAAGTGAGTTATTTTAGTTTTTTTTTTACTTTGGTTAATTTAGTTCGTTTAAGGGGATAGTAAAAAGAAAAAAAACCAATATATTTAAATATATATAAATGGGAAAAAAATGTATAAAACACCACAACTTAAATTATTTTTTATTTCAGAAAATCAACAGAAAAAAAATTCAGGCAAAACAATACCAGCCAGAACAAAAGAAACTATTCCCAGAAATTCTGAGGCTGATGAGAAAAATAAACTAGACTGTGAGATATGTGGTATTGTCTTATCATCAGAGTCTCAGAAAAAAGATCATCTCACTGGAACAAAACACTTGAATAAAGTCAAGGAGCTGAGTAAAACTGATGTGCAAGTCAAGTCTAAAGGTGAAATGGGTAATGAGGAAAATTTGAAAAAGCTTAACAAAAGTTATAACAAATTCAAAGTTTTGCCAGATGTTGCAAAAGGACAGAAACCTGATCCAACCCCATTGGAAAATGCCCAAGTGGCATCAGGAAGTGTTAGTCCAATAGCAGGTGCTGCACCCAAAGCAAAAAACATACCAAAAAAAAAAAAAAATCCTCCAACACCAGATCTTAACGTTACACATCCTGTAGGTCCCACAAATACCAGCACCTCACAAAGTGCAGCCAAAAATCCCACCAAAGACAATATTGCTTTCCAGGATAATATGTATTCAGTGGCTTTGGATAAAAATGGGAAGGGTAAGTGTGAACTATGTCAAGTAATTTTATCTTCTGCCAAGATTGCTAAAGACCACATAGATGGGAAAAAACACAAAAGTAATCTTCAAGCTTTGAATTTACCCACATAAATAACAATTTAAAGAAAGGCCTATTTGAATTATATATTACATAAAATCTAAAATCATATTTTGACATACACATATCCTAAATAAATTTACCTCACAAGGCAAATGCTTTTGATTTTTTTTAAAGCGACGTTTGTATATTCTTTAAAGCTTATTTTTACTTTATTTTATTGCTGTAAATTTATTTAATAAATAAAATATATAAATTTATGTAAAATTGTGATTAGAAAAGCTAATTTTTCACTGAATTCTTTTAAAGCTGAATGCTTGTATTAAGCTTAAGTCCAACAAAAGAATCCATAAGTTGTATTAGGCAATATTTAAAACTACAAATTGTTTACTTAGCTAATTCATGATTTTTGTAGAAGTGTTTTATTTCTTCAAAACATTTAATTTTTGCTGTTATAAAACTGTCATTGACACAGGTGTTGAAAGCTTTTATTGAAAAACATAATTGTGTTACAGATGAATACAATAAATGTTGCAATGTAATTCAAATCACTAATGTTTAAAACACATGAAATAAAACACTAGTTGGTATTTTCAAATTAGTTATAAGTAATATAAGAATTAGATCTCATGACAATAATGTTACTTAAATAATGTAAATAACTTACCTATTAAACATTTCAACTTTGTCATGGAACTTTGTCCTGGAACCTACATAATATGAATGATAATAGTTGTTTATTTTGCATGTATTTTTTTAACCTGAAGGTGTTTTCAAACACTTATAGTTTGGTAATTATAAATGCTTCTCTTTAAAAAAAAAGTTTTGTGTCTAGGGCTAGTATGTAGATAGTGTATCTGATCTGATGCCACTGTTCTGATTGTTAGCAAGCCAATAAAGATTGCAGCTATAGAAAATTTTGTAAAAAAATGTCTCATGTTTTAAGTGTTTGTATTATAATGTTGCCTGTCACTTGAAGTGGTTGTATTATGTTGTCTGTGTATAATTTTTGGGGTCAGCCTGCCTACAGTTGGTGCCTCTCAGGTTAGGCTGGTGACTTGGAGTTGTGTTTGTTCACTTGGTTGCTTGATACACTTTGGGTATAATTCAGTTCATTGGAGAGATAATAGGCAGAAGCTGTGTAGGGCATAATAGACTGCTCATTATGGTACTTTTTTTTTTACAAAAGAGATTAAAGTTGAAAACTAGACATGTAAGCATATTTTAAATGGATTATTAGGTTTATATTCTGTAAGATCAATGTTGTATTCATTCATCTATTCGAAATGTCTGGACATGCTATCATTTTGTCCATACCAACCAATAGTTTTATAATTGATACATAACAGAAATTTCCAGTGGGTACACCATAGTGCGTCAACAGATTCCATATTGTTTGCCTATTGACATTATCAAAGGCCTTCTCAAAGTCAACAAAGCAGATGTAAAGTGGGGCTTTCCATTCTATCGTCTGTTCTACAATAATTCTAAGAGTGGCTATCTGGTCTGTACCCGCTAAGTTAGTGGAAATAATCCAGCAACTTTACAATGGATTTTCATGCCAAGTTAGCCATGCTGGGAAACTGTCTAAAGAGTTCCAGGTCGACACAGGTGTTAGACAAGGATGTCTGTTGTGCCCCTTCTCTTCTTGGTGGTTCTCCATTGGGTGACGCGCACGACTTATGCCAGTTTTGGAAAAGGTATGCAGTTGGCACAGGGAAATTAGAGGATCTAGAGTTTGCAGATGATCTTGCCTTACTCTTGCACCGGCTACAAGATATGCAAGAAAAAGTTGATGCATTAGGAGCCATCTCTCAGCGCGTAAGACTCAAGATCAACAAAGAAAAGACAGAAGTAATGAGAATCAACAATAACCAGGAGGCCCCAGTAACAATAGTTGGAAGACATGTAAATGATGTGGAAGAGTTAGTCTATCTTAGCAGCAAGATCAGCAAATCGGGAGGTACGGAGGAGGACATACGTGCTAAAATTAATAGAGCCTTTCTGCCCTTTCACAGTTCTGCAACCCATATGGAAAAATTCTTCCATCTTCAACAAAAAGGAGGATACTTAACTCAAATGTCAAGGCAGTTTTGCCATATGGAGCAGAGACATTGAGAGTCTCCAAGGCAAGCATAGAGAAGATACAGCCTTTCATGAACAAGTGCCATAAACAGATTTTGAAATTGATGTGGCAGGACGGTGCCAAACATAAAATTATGGAGAAAAGCAAGGTAGGAGCCTATGACGGTGCAAATAAGAAGGGGGAAATGGCAAAAAGCTCACCAAAAGGTGCTTGAGTGGAACCCCCAGGGAAAGCGGAAGAGAGGCAGCCCAAGACAGACCTAGAGGCGGAGTTTTCTCGAAAAACTGAAGTCAACATGATGGAGGCTCTATGTTCCATAAGGAGCAACAAGGACTAAGTCAAGCAAGTCAAGAAAATTCCAAGTAAATGTTAAGAGAAGAACACCAGCTTTGTGAAGAAAAGAAAGATTTAAACATATATTTGTACAACTACATACTTTATAACTGTTGCAAGACAAAATAATTGAAATAATCGTAACCCCATGACAATGCTATTATAAAAATCCTTCAAACTAAACCATTCAAAACAGTATCAATATCAGTAAATTTTAATACAATTTGTCTTTATCCAAAAACAAGAGTGAAAAATAATATACAAGAGTATAAAACTAAAAATTCACAATAAGTCAAGCTTGTTTATATAGTGACTTTACTGTATTCTTCTGTGGTCAAATTTTTCCAACACTACCAATCTGCCATTAGTTAAGGTTTAGAACAAGTACTAATAAATTAATCCTGAATTTAAATGTACAAGATTATGATTTTTTAAAAAATATTTTTACAAAACAGCTATTAGAGTGAAGGATACGGTTTCAGCTGCTCTGCAAAGTTTTTCATATCTTCCCCAATCTGTTCTTGTCCCAATGGTGCAACTACACTCAACTCTACAAGGTGGGACTGACCAAGTGCTTCAAGGTTTTGGACATCAGTCTTGCCAGGCTGGACCAGCTGTAGCAAGTTGTTTAAAATTATTCCTCATTCAGCAAAACTCACATCATTGCCACTACGGATACTTAATGACATTACAATTATAGCCACAACTGATACCTTTTAACATTCTACATTTTTACTGCACCCTAGGGCATACATAATGTATAAATTATATGGCAGAGTAGAAAAAGCAACACACACACATATATATGTGTATGTATATATATAAATGAATGAAAGTGTGTTTGATTGTATGTCCTTCATGCATTACTCAAGTTTGTCCTTTAAGCATTACTACAACATTCATCAGATCTCAATGAAACTTGGGAAGTTGTTGAAAATACTCCGAGGGAAGTTTTTGTGAAAAAATATTTTTTAAGGGGCAATTAGGCTCTCCAGCGGGCACTCTGGCACCTCCGTGTGTTTTAAAGAGAGGGCTACTATAATTGTTGAGTAAATTTAATCAGGTGCATCCACAGGTGCCCAGGTAACCTGCAGCACATATGGCTTGCCATGGGCACTGGCGCCTATATTAGTTTTTTAAAGAGAACCCTACAAAAGAAACATGTTGGGCCACTACATTTTACTACTAAATCCAACCAGGGGCTGTAACAGTTTTTACTATTTCTCATAATGTGAAGACAATGTTACATTGCTAAAACAGATTAAATGGATCAATGTCAAATAATATTATCACTTAGATTGCTAGATAAAATGAATGCATTTTAATAACAGAAGGGTAAAAAAAAAGTAATTACTTAAAATGTTTAATAATTGCGCCAGGGGAAGTGATATAAAAAAAAATTAAAATCATGCTAATAAAATAAATGTGAATGCAACTTCCGCTGACGTCCAAGGCGGCATTATTGTTGGAATAATATAATTAGCATGGTTTGATATAGTGCAATATACACTGGGCTCCTAAATGTCCTCTATGTTTAATTCTATCTTTTGATTTGCGGACAAGCTGGGGTTTTTATAGTTGCTCACTAAATTGAATCAGGCGCGTCTGCCGCCACCCCGGCAGGGTTTGATTTTGCACGATGGGCTATCCTATGAGTACTATGGATTAGGGTTAGCCCCGGGCTAGACTGTGAGCACTAAGCATTTATGTTTGCACATGAGTTTGGGTTTATGCAATGCATTTAGGTTTGTGTTTAAGTTTGCGTTTGCATTAGCGTTTGTTTTTTCGGTTGCGCTTTTTTGCATTTGCATTATGTTTGAGTTTGTTGTTTAGTTTGTGTTTGCATTTATTTTTGCAATTGTGTTCACATTGTGTTTGTGTTTTCTATTGTTTGTGTTGTGTTTTTGTTTTCTTTTGTGTTTGTGTTTGTGGTGTGTTTAGTTTTGTTCTGTTCCATAATTGTATATCATTATGATCATAAAATTAGGTATTTTTAAATTAAGTAAATGACAGAAATATTTTAATTATTTTGTCACAACAAGGTGAACTTTTATGACATTTAGTTTTTCTATGCTGTCGACTTCTGTAACATCAGTTTTAGCCGGTTAAACATCATCTATAAAAAGGCAGTAATTATCTCTGCTGAGATTACAGCCATTGTTTTGTTATCCTTGCTGTAATGTATTCATATTATCCAAGAACATAGATTTCATTTCAAATGTTGCTTCACATTTGAATGTGTGTTATACTCACCTAGCATATTTGAAGAATACTATGCAACAAAAATAAATCGAACCTATCCATATACACTCACATCACACACTGATACATACACAATATATTATTCACCATGAAACACATCATCACACCCTGCATCTGACATAGAAAATGCATCCCGGCCAGTCTGGGTATTGGCTGGCCAATGCATGAAATATGCTGTCAATTTTAAAGTTCTTGTAACGCCAATGTACACAATTGTAAGTTCTTTAAACTATTGCCAAAAAAGTGTCGCACTTTGGATTTCAGCCATAACATATTTTTTCCTCAATTTATGTTTTAATAGATGTTCAGTTGTCTAGGTTAGTTCCAAAGGATACAATTCCATCCATGGAAACAACATGGCATCAAAAAGGAACTAACATTTGAGTAACCTTAATTCAAACCTGTTGATCTATTTTAATAGCTAATTTATGACATGTTCCTTACAGACAGACAAACTTAGCCAATTGTTATATAAGATTATTAAGATGCAATATGCCACATAAATCACTCTCTTACCACTAACTTACTAGATCTAAATCAAGTAGCACATTGTTAGATTGTTAGTATTTGCCTGTTTTTCTATTAATAGAATGGTGAAGTAGTAGGCATATTAATATTAGAAAGTTAATATCACCAGCTTTAATGTAATATCTGCATTGTCATATTATCACAGTGTATGACCCTTTAACCTGGAACCTTTAACCCTTGATATGTAAGCATTTATTACTATATATAGCACACAAGCATATCATTAATGTTGGACATTTCCTAAACTTTTCAGACAAAAGGTTTGAATTGTGATAAATAATTGAATTTTTCTTTTTAATTTACTGGCATTTTTTCCACTAAATGTTAATCTTGTGGTACTTTTAAAACCAAATAGTTTTAATGGTAGTCTTTTGTAAAAGAAACAAAAAAGCAGGTTAAAAAAGAAAAGCTGTGATCTATTAGTACACAACAGAGTGACATTTACTAAGAGTTTCACCAACATATTACCAATCATGTATTTTTAGACATGTGAACTTGTTTTATAAAAACTGAGTTATTGAAATATAAACAAAGCCAGCACAATTGAGGAGCCACAGGTTACATACTGCAGGGACGACGGGTGCAACCACTGGGTTTAGTCATGGCATGTTGTAGCCCAACATGTCCCTAGTGTAAAGACACAATAGTGCTTATTGCAGGGACGACGGGTGCAACCACTGGGTTTAGTCATGGCATGTTGTAGCCCAACATGTCCCTAGTGTAAAGACACAATAGTGCTTATTGCAGGGACGACGGGTGCAACCACTGGGTTTAGTCATGGCATGTCCCAACAAGTCCCTTGATGCAGTTGAATTAAGTCACTGACCCCCTGTACTGGTCACTCAATCAACGGACACCATGTGCTCAGATAGCACTGGGAAACTCAGGACGTCCCTCTGTACTCTAATGCTAGAGGAAGCCCCTTGTTATAGTATATCATTTTAGTATCCCACTGTGCACCTAAAGGTGGGGCTATTTAAAATGTATGTAGGTACCAAGTATTTATAGGGGTGAGGCCAGGGCGCTCTGGGTCACACAACACTAGGGTGCTGGCGGATGCACATGTTCAACAGTTATGGTAGCCCACCATAACCATAGTGAATAGAGCTCTTTAAAACAAGCATAGGCTTCATAGACATGCCTACCCATGGCGACCAAAAGTAGGAACAGTCACACTAAAAAAGAAGAACATACACCAAGATGCCACTTTGCTAAGCAGAAAATAAATACTTAAAATACAAAAAAAGACATTTTTTAGGCCCTATACAAAGTAGACATGAGTATGATAAATAGGTTTAGAATAGTTTTATAGTAAGTAGTAAGGTAATATTTAACCAGCATATATTGATGCTTAATTTCAGCTTACATTTAAAAAAAATATTAGTGTACCCATCCCTGCGCATTGCCGCGGGATAGAAAAAAGTCTGACAAAATATATAAGAAGGGTTTCATAAATGCGTTACCAATCCTATGTTCTTAGACACGTGATCTTGTTTTCTAAAACTGAGTTATTTAAATGCAAACAATGCCTGCGCTTGGATCATAATTATCGGGACATGGGTTTACCTACACTACTGCATGAAAACCTTCAGTGTACGTTAATCACTCAGCGAAATAATGAGGTAGAACACACTTCGGTGACCGCCAATATGGCAGGGATGTACAGGGGTACTCTCGGGAGCCCAAAATTACACTGCCACAAAGGCGCCGCGTACGGCCCCTGGCTACTTAAAACAAACAGGTGTCATAGTGCTCACAGGATAACCCACAGTGCCAAATAGCATCCTGTTAACGATGATGCAGATAAAGTGACACAAATGAACAGGATATTTTCTTTAACACGTAAAAAAAATTATTTGACGTGTTTTAAACATCAGTGTGACCGATGCAATATGTTAGCGTTACTATTGGTCTATTATTAGTTGCTTAATCTCAATTTTTTACTGGATCTTCTAAAAATAGATGCTTATTGCATTTGCAAAGTGACGAAACTGTTTGGATTTTTTTATGGACAAAAAGAAACATCCCAGTTAATTAACTAACCTTGGTTAATATTTCTGATTATTAAAATAAAACATATTACAGGGCCCTCTGTGGCTCGTGTGAGCCTTTGGGGGCTTATATTGAAATTTTTGTTTGCAGACACGCTTATTCAACACTCCATCTTATCCATTGTTTATCACACTGTTTAGACAGAAAGTAGTCGTCATAGCGCTCACGGGAAAGACCAGGGCGCCAAATCGCAATCTGCAGGGGGCTGCCCGTGCAAAATTAAATCCCCCCTGAAACCTCGGGAGTATTCATCAACTCCCTAAAGTTTTATGGCACTTGGATAAATGGTAGCAAACCCCAACGGACTTTCATTTTTTTAATATATCATAATTAGAGAAGAATAGCATCCACCTGTGGCGCTGACCTAGCAATAAGCACTATTGTGTCTTTACACTAGGGACATGTTGAACGATACCCCCCCTCCTTTTCCCCAACTCCTCACCCCCCCTTGAAAGCAAACTCCTATTAGTTACCTCCCCTAAATTTAAAATTGTTTCAAACTACATTATCTGCCCCTAATAGCCGTCACTAAAACCGGCTCTACGATTGTAAACATTTAGCGTGAACCACAGTTCACCAGACCAATTAGGGGTGGGGGTGGTAGGGAGTACGCTTACATACAAAGCACAATTCTGCAGGAGAGAATTTGTATGAATTATATTAATAAACCGGTAGTGATCTCCCCTAAACTTTCTCGAATATTCTTATATAAAACAACAGGGGATGGTAACTGGGGATATAGTTATGATTTTTAATCCATTTTAAATACTTAAACTTTTAAAAATAGAATAGAATCTCATAAATAAACCGGGAGTGATCTCCCCTAAACTTTCTCGAATATTCTTATATAAAATAACAGGGGATGGAAACTCGGGCTATAGACATGATTTTTAATCCATTTTAAATACTTAAAGTTTTAAAAATAGAATAAAATCTCGTAGACAAATTAATTGCACACCAAGTGAACGCAAATAAAAAAGCGCATAATAGTGCGCAATATTATTAGTACTTTTAAAATTTACATTAGTTTTTTGAGAAATCGGAAGTAGCGTAAATTACTACTTCCAGTCAACGGAAATTACTCAAAATTTAACAGAAGGTAGAGAATTAGATCTTTTACTTACATGTGAAATTTCATTTATCTATCTGAAATAGTACTCAAGTTATAGGCTTTTGAAAAATTCAAAGTAGGAAAAGTACCACTTCCGGTTATCGGAAATCGCTCAAAAGTTGATACGGATCTACGATTTTGATAAAATACTTATATATGAAATTTCATCAACCTAGCTGTAACGGTACTCAAGTTATCGTGTTTACACACGGACAGACAGACACACAGACACACAGACATACGGACAAGATTGCAAAATTATGTTTTTCCGTATCAGTGAGGTGTAAAACGTCGAGATTTGTAAAAATCTCGATTTTTTTTTTTTGCACGATTACAATACTTTCTCTATACTACGTATATACGAGAAAGTAAAAAAGGGGCATGAGGTGTTTTACATCAAACTAAAAAAAATTTTTACTTATTCACTTACTCTGTAAACTTTGTACACTGTAACTTTCATCCGACCTTTGTGAAAAAAATAACCTTTTGTCACATAGTCATGATCCATCCTAAAATAAATGCAAGAAAGTTTTTAGATAGAATAATTATGGTAAATAGTTGAACTCTCAAATTATTAAATACATAATTATTTCATAAAATAAATGAAGAGTTTAAGCTAACACAGCATTCAAAGTATGTTTTCATGATCTTAACACTAACCACAAACACCATCATAAGGATAAAATGATATAGTACAATAAAACAATTTAAGCTTGAATTCAAATCAGTCTAGCTTTACCTGGTATGACCTACACTTATTAGCCTAGCCTAACTAACACAAACAACTAACACTGATCCTCATCCAAACTTAGTGTTAAAAAATATAGTGATTAACTCACACAGACTAACATAGTCTAATATTAAAATATTTTTCTAACTTTTTCAACACCCCTCCTCAACTTTACTATATATTCAAAATACCTGCCAAGGGAAGATTCAGGTAATAAATTTGACTTCTTTATCCACAGTTACATACATAATTTATACCTCAATAAAATACATGTGGAGTTCAATAGAAGTTATACTGACCTCTTTATGCACTGTTATATATATATATATATATATATATATATATAACATATATATATATATATATGTGTGTGTGTGTGTGTGTGTGTGTGTGTGTGTGTATCTCAAAATACAAGTGCAGTTTAAAAAAGGTTATTACTTTTAGAAAGCTAGAAATTTATTTTAATACACACACAACACTTGATAAATATATGGGTGAAGAAAAAGAAATTGCCTTGTTTCTGCTTACCTATACTGGTAAAATATAACTTATATAATATAACATTATATAATTTAATGACTAATCTCATGTCTGTTTAGATTAAAAATTAGATATTTGTGCATTGTTGTTGGAGATAATGTATCTGGGACAAAATAGAAGTGGGTTAAAATTTAGTTACAAGATTTGTCACAAACCCTCAAACAAACAAACAAACATTGTGAACTAAAGGAATCATCAGGAAAAAAACAAGAAACTATAATAAGGAAGCTAAACGTAATATCATGAGGTGTTTTTATTATGCAGGGCCACTTGATAAGTTACCAGATGATGTATGGGAGCTGTTTTACTTATTAAAAAACTACTGTTAATAAAACATAATGCATCAGCCTAAATGTACCCACTAATCATACTCCTTAACTACCCCATTCTTCAGAAAAACTACATAAAAAGCTGTTTATTTTACACTACAGGAAGAAATAACCTACATACCTAACACTTTTTTCAAATTCTTCAGAGTAACAATTTAACCACAATAACTATGTAGACTATACACCAGTTAAAACATCTATCTGTTTACTTTTATGGGGTAAAAATGAAAATACAGTGTTCAAGAATTAAAGTAAATGAAACACAAGGATATAGTCATAGACACTCACCTGAAACCCATCTCTTGCAAAAAATCTCTTACATTACTTGAGCAAGCAACATCAAGACAAGCTCTAACTAATGTTGGACGGCCACGATCACCCATTTCTGCTTGGCCAAGATATCTAATATGGCTTAGAATAAAAAATGTTTTATGATTCAATTAATATATGTAAAATAAAGCGGCAGTGATCTCCCCTAAACTTTCTCGAATATTCTTATAAAACGCTATGGGGGATGGTAACTCGGGATACACACAAGATTTTTTATCCATTTTTAATAACTTAAACTTTTAAAATAGAATAGAATCTCGTAGAAAAAAAATTGCGCAATAGAGTCCTTGCATACAACGTCACAGATGGTTCAGTGTGTAAACATCCGCCATTGCGGTGTACAGGTCCACATTCAAAAAGGCGATCTGTGCTGCAAAAAGGTTGCGATACTGAAAGTAGCAGATCTAAAGGAATTCCTTTATTTCAACTGACAAGGGTTATATTAAAATTTAAACCAAGGTGATAGAGATCGGCAGTCAACAGGAAGTAGACGCTGTCAATTTTTAGCCAATAATTATCGAAGTGGTGTGAGTGATGCAGCGACACTTTGTTTTTGGTCAGGACAGTAAACAATAAACTTCATTTTAATTAACAAAAGACATCTGTTAATAAAATAAATATGCTCGGCCTTGACAAATGCTAATAGCAATAGACAATAGACCAAAGTCAAAAGTAATAATAAAATTTAATTGGAATATTTAATATTTAGATCTAAAATTTAGCTCTAAATCTAATCATGTTGTAAATGAATTTAGATCTAGATTTAGAATGACCGGCTCCGTTAAGTAGACATAGAATCAAGAATCTAATTATTTAATTTAATTACAAAATTTAGATCTATATTAGATTAAAAATACACCAATAATAAATTTAAAAAAAAAGTCTTATAATAAAAAATGTTATTGCCCCTAAAATCTAGTATCAAGCTCTAGATTCTAATCATTTTATTTAGCAAATGAAATTAAATAGATTGTATGACAGACTTAGATCTACAATCTGGTACTTATATTAAATTTTAAAAGTTTATACTAACAAGTAGTTGATATTTTTGTTGAAGGCTTTAATAAACTACTTAGGCCTGCCTACTATGTGTATCTGATACTGGACTGTTTAGTTAAGTTTAGAAGCAGATCAGTGGTACTGATTTCCCCTCAAAGCTGGGCCCCGAGGGTAATCAATTACATAAGAGATGCTATCTCTGGCTGGCTGAGATATAAGAGCAGCAGTCCATGTTACCTACAAGGAGATGAAGTTTTATGGTGGGTTAGATACAGGTGGGGTCTGGCTATCATGGAGGTGAGGGCACTGGTACTGATTTCTCTTTGGTCTCCACCCTGTGGACCATGGTGGTCATAAATTACATAACATCTGCTGGGCTGAGATCTAAGATCAGTAATCCATTTACCTACAAAGAGGTATCATCATGTAGGTAAGAAATTTTGAGGGGGAAGCATCAGTATGTGTCTGATCACTTCCCTGCTGGACCACGAGGGTCATAAATTACACAACATGCTACCCAGATTGGCTAAGATCTAGGAACAGCAGTGGTTGTTACACTTTTGTAATGAAACTATTTGAAATAGGCAGTATAGGTATTTGTGGATGGTAAAGGCAAGCGTCTTTAATAATAAAAAAAAGACCACAGCTCACTGTCATGTGTAGTTAGTTCCCCCATTGGGTAGCGGTTTGCACTTTATTAATGCATTATTGGCCACTGTATATATATCTTTTGCTACTGCTTTTCTTATTGCATGGGTTGCCTAATAATGCTAACATATTTGTATTAATAATTTGCATGTTAGTGTGTTTGAATAAATCAGCAACTTTGGCTGTGAACTAGCTGTCAGAATTTTACAATGTTTTCCTGTTTTACCTATAAAATAAAATGTAGTTTAAAATTGTTAGCATGTGTTTATTATTGACTTGTTGATATTATGCTATCTGGGCAGTTAATGTTCTTGATAGACATAGTAAGGCCAGGAGATACTCTTCAACCATTGGTCTTCTTTTTAAAAATTCTATGTTGGTTGCCTAAATTATTCTCTCGTTACATTGGGATTGCAATTTTTAGCTTTTAATTGCTTTATTTCTTTATTTCTTAGAATTTGCATTAGACCATGGGGTCGTCCATGAATGATTACATGAGGTACATTAGCAGTCCATGAATGATTACATGAGGTACATTAGCAGTTTTATGGGGTTTTTTGTAGGGGTTAAGTGGTCTCAAGTTTGTTACTGTAGTGTAGATCTACTAGATTTATTGCTACTGAAGCTTGTACTTAAGTAGAGAATATAGAATTAATACTAGCTAGATTTAGATTTAATCTATATATATAACTAGCCGTCCCGGCCAGGCCCTGCTCTGGCTTCTGTGAAAAACCTTTCTGTTAAAGACCATTACCTGTGTGTTTAGTAATCATCATAAACCCGGCATTGCCCACCCAAACCACAACCAACCAAAACAACAAAACGCAAACATAACGCTAACACAATTACAAATACAAACGAAAACAAAAACCTAACAACAAACCCAACCACAACCACAAACACCAATATAAACACAAAGAAAAAACAAACAAAAAAGCAAACGAAAACAAAAACCTAACAACAAACCCAACCACAAACACCAATACCAACACAAAAAAACAACGAAAAAGCAAACGAAAACAAACCAAATCCAAACGCAAAACCAACCAAAAACACAAATACAAACCCAAACAAAAAAACACAAACAAAAACGAAAAAAGAAAGAACAAAAACGAACCAAATCAAAACGCAACCACTAACGCAAACCCACCTAAACACAAAGAAAACACTAACGCGAACATAAACGCCCGGGGCGGAATCACCTGTTTTAGCTTAATGAACGACTATCGTACCCCAACTTATTCACAGTCTTTTGCACTCACTTAAACGAACGCACCTGTTTCAATTTAATGAACAATTTTAATACTCCAAGCTTATCCGTAAAATACCTACAACATTTGCACTTGATCAATCCCCGCTAATTATGTAATTATTTTTTTTCCCAACACCAAAACAAAGTAATAAAATTTTCCACTAATGCAATGGTTTTATAAAGGGAAGTAATTGTGTTTTCCTAATTTATCAAAGGGAAGTAAATGCTATAGGACTAAATAAAGACATAATTAGAATTTTTGTAAAAGATGATATTTTTTTAAAACTTGTGTTTAATGAACATGCCGACAATTATTACTATAATTTGAAAAATGAAAATTATTTCCCAACACTTTCAATAGTAATTTTTTAGCTCATAAATTTAGACAAATGCGCACGATAATTTTCTAACACTTAAATTCATACAATTCCAACGACAAACATATGCATTACATACAGAACTGAGCTTTATATATTAGATTCTCTTCTTGGATACCCTAGAAAACACCAAGCTGTAAGCGGGCCTAGCCGCTTCCTCTCTAGGCATAACCCTACCACCCCCACATGGTCTGGTGAGCTATGGTTCACGCTAAATGTTTACAATCGTAGAGCCAGGTTTAGTGATGACTATTAGGGGCAGATAATTTAGTTTTGAAATGATTTACCTTAGGGGAGGTAACTAAGAGGAGGCTGCTTTCACAGGGGGGGGGGTGTAGGGTAGAGGTTGGGGGAAAGAAGGGTGGGGGTAGTATCGTCAATATTCCTCCATTTTATGTCAACACAAATATAACAATCTTCAATTCCCTTAAATTTTTTTTACGTATTGTTCCTGTTCTGCGGGTGCAGTGCTGTGGAACAGCTGATTGTTTTCTGACGGTGTTCACCGCAGTGGCGGCAATTGTAGATATCACATGATTTAGGTCATGTGTTTGCAAGGACTCTATAAGTGAACAGCAAACAAATTGTGTAAAATAGTGCGGAATGTAGTACTTTATTTATAAATTCATATTCGTTTTATGAGAAACCGGAAATAGTGTAAATTACTACATCCGGTCAAATGAAATTACTCAAATTTAAGTTACAGAAGGCAAATAATTAGACCTTTTGCTTATGAGAAATTTTGTTTATGTATCTGAAACAGTACTCGAAAGTAATTGAAAGTAGAATGAATTTTACTTCCGGTTATCAGAAATTGCTGAAAAGTTGATACAGATCTTCAAATTTGATATAACACATATAGGAAAATCTTATCAACCTAGCTGTAACGGTACTCAAGTTATTGTGTTCACAGACACACACACAGACAGAATTGCAAAGCCCAGTTTTTCCTACTCAATAATGCGTATAACGCCAAAATTTTGATAAATCTGGATTTAGAATTTCTGCCTGATTAAAATTAGTCCCCTTTACTTCGTATAAGATGAAGTACTGAGGTGTAGAATGATGAAAACTGTCAAAATTTCATGTGATTTTTGTGCACAATTACAATACTTCCTCTATACTTTGTATACGAGAAAGTAAAAACAGAATTAAAAATTAGATACAAAACTAGTCACAAATTAATTCACATAATCTACATCCAAAAACCCTGGTTACACAACGAAAAAAAAAAGAGCATGAAGGAAAGTCCAAAATAATTGTCCAAGTGAGGTGTAGGCTAACATTATTTGTCATAATCCACATTCAAGGATCATCCCGTTTTCTTCACTTTTTTTTGTGAGTCTTTTCAAAGAACAAAGTTACTGCATTGAGTGATAGTCAGTTAATGGTGATTGTCAAAACTACCAATGCCAATAAAGGTAAAATATTTATGCCAATATACTGGTAGAATCTACCCACAACATACATAAAAGACTGTTAATCATAATTATATTCAATCTTGGTCTAATTAATGGAACACAAATAAAACTTACTCAGGAGCATCAGGATGATCAAGTGCATGACGCACACGAAACAATACAAACTGATTCTGTTGGGTAGTGGTAGAATTTCCTGAAAATTGATTGTTTATTGTAAACACAGGTATAATGATTTTCTCTAAAAACTAGAACTGTGCACAAGTTAGAATTTAAGTTTCTTAAGGCCACATAAATATATTTTTTTGAATAAGACTTAAACACAAATGCCTACATTGATTTGATTACGTGTAACTATGTGTAGCCAAACCAAAGCATACAACTTTTTTAAAACAACTAGTGAAATAAAATTAAAAACAGTAATTTCGATAATTTAATAAACACCACTGTTGAAAAACAAGAAATAGTGATCTCTATTTGCAGAGGCGTAGCAACCCATTTTGGCGCCCCGGGGCAAACTATCTATTTTACACCCCCCCCCCCACCCTTCCCATTTAAATATAGACTGTAGTTATTCATGCTGATGAATAAGCCCCCCCCCCCCCCCCCCCACTTCCCGGTGGAAAATGCTGGTTTCTCCCTATCACTATCCTGTATTGTTTTTGTATTTTTGGTGCCACACAATTGATGTAGAAAACAGTTAAATCAATGCCTAAAGCTTTGTAGATATTTACTTTCTTAACTTCGACTTTGTATAATTCAATACCTAAGATTAAAATGAACGTCCCCACCTGCCCTCCTTTGGCTATGCCTCTGTCTATTTGAACTAGAAGTTAATAAAAATTTGAACATTATTGTCTTAAAAGTTTGAAAAAATAAACATTAGTTCTTACTCAACATGTAAACAGCCTCATAATCATGGAAATGTTCAAAATTGCTCTCAGCATTGTCACAAAGTCCCCTTAATCTATGAAGTAATACATCTCTGTGGTTGTCAAAAATACTGCCCTGATTTTAAAGAAGTAAATTTTGATAAAACATTAATAAATGCAAATACAAAATATAAAAGTTTACAAACTGTTAAATTGACAGCTCTTGGCTATCTAGAATTAAAATAATTTATTTCAGCTTATTTACATAAACAAATGTTTTGTGATGAATGTTAATATTAAAATTGCAAGAACAAATAACAGTCCAACACCCAACCCTTAAAGTTTGAAGATTTTTGGATAGGGGAAATGTATACAATCACATTGTGTCATACATTTTAAGGTACTTTAAATGTTTTTACTTAAAAAAAGTAATTGAGTGAGCCTGGTCGAGGTAAAAAGTATTGGTATTGTGGAACCCTTAACATCATGACTGGCACATGTCAATTGAGTTTATACAAGCTGTGAGGAATATACTTTATACTTCTATAACATGAATGCGAAGTTGAATTGTGACCTTTGTGACGGTACATAGTTTGATTTCTTTCTTAACATTTTAATCCCTTTATACTTGTCGGGCAAACAAAGAAAGTGGTTTCAAAATGGATTCACATGTATAACAGAACTTGAGAGTCAGCACCCTAACTGGGGTCGGCGTGGTCGAGTCGGTAAAGCTCATGGTTGCTAAACCGAAAAGTCTCGAGTTCGAACCCTCGGGCAGATGAGGCTCGTTAGCTGGGGACAGCCGCTCTTCTAGGAGAGACCACTCCAAAATTAAACAACTGCTGCCTTGTAGTTTGTTCTTGGTTGGACAAAGGCTATGGAAGCAAATCCAAAAAGAAAAGCAGGCTGAAATCGGAGTCAATGGCCTCAATGGCGCATAACCAGTTGACATGTAACGTTTAATTGTGTTGGAGGCGTGGTCGAGTCGGCAAAAAGCTCATGGTTGATAAATTCGAACAAAGTCTCGAGTTCAAACCCACTGGCAGATAAATCTCGATCCCCTTCAACACTAATAATTAAGAACGAAGAAGAAGAAGAAGAAGAAGAAGCACCCTAACTGACTTGCAATGCCATGTTGAGAAGTTCAAGTTAGGACCAACAAAACTAAGAGAATCATTTCTTAAGCTGCATGCAGATGGTAAATACAAGAGCATAACGCTCACTGAATACAAGATGGACCTGACTGGTGTCTGCAAGGCAAAAAAAGAAGTCACAATAATTTGCTGTAAACATGTTATGTTTTTTAATTTGCGTGAAAATCATACTGTAATGGTTTTGTTCTTTTAACACAGTGATGTTGATGCACGGTTCATTTTGTGCACCAGTACAATATATACCTAGTAAGAGGGGTCCGGTGACATTATGAAGCTGGTGGGAGTTCAGTACCTCCATAATGTTAAGAACCACTGATCTAGCACAATAATGTTTGCAAATACTGTAATAATTTAATAAGTAGCATCTGAATGTTTTCTTAAGCTTCAATGACTTTTGCAAATATGATTTTGTGAAGGAAGTGTTTTAGCTTTAATAATTTTAATGTATCACAAATGTATGTTTCTCAGTTTCAAAAATTATTATCATGACCAAGAAAACATTTATGGATAGTAGTAGTAACAGTTTAGCTAAGCCGTTTCTAATTTTTCTTTTAAAATAATGACAAAATGGCTGTGCCAAAATACTTATGTGTCTCCCTATAAAATTTTCTGGCCTTTCGGTTGTAGGCTTTGTGTCAATCAATAAAAGTAGGCACAAAGTATTAAAATTACCTGTAACAAATACTCCTGTTGAGGAGCTATATTTTTTAGAGAAGGTGCTAGTGAGGCTGTTTCCATTTCATAAATCCAATAATGAGCATTTATTTGCCTGTCAAAAATAAGTAATAAACACAAAAACTGCAATCTTAAGTAATAATTCATATTTTTACTTTAAAAAGTTATAAAAACTATCCAAAAAGATACCAAACAGTCAGGATTTTATAACCATTTTAATATTAATTACACAGCACATAATTTATGAAGTGACTGCTCAGAAAAACTTTTTTCCCTCAAGTGCACAATGGGCTCAAATTTAATACTATTTATAGCTGGTAAATGGACGCAATTTATTATTTTATAGCTGTGCAATAGGATCAATGACTCTTTTAGCTGTATTTTTCTGACAAAACTATCTATACCGTTTGGTTGTCAGGGGTTGAGGTTTTATATTTATAGTATAAATACATAGCATAGTATAAAGAGCAAAGAGTTCTTGTCTATAAGTTAAGACTAGTAATGTACGAAAAAGTTACCTCATTGTCAAGGTTTTAATAGAAGTATATTGTGATATATTTGTGTCAAATATTATAGATAAATGAATAATAAACCTAAATCAATGGCTAAATATATCAATATAGGCAAGAAATTAACTTTAAACAGCAGTGTTTGCAAGCAGGATTTGCTATATAAAAAGCCGCCATCTGTAAGTTAGAGTGGCTTCCCCCTGAATCTGCGCTATAAGCTTATAAAAATAAAACTTAAACAAGATGGCTGCTATAGTAAATGAGCATGGTTGCATCTGTTGGAAACATCGCTAGTCTTCATTTATTACGGAAAAGTTTTAATTCAATTGTTTAAAAACGGGTACATAAATGAAACAAGGAAACATTTTTATATTTTAAAAAACATAAATCCTCCTCAAAATGTGAAATAATTATTAAAATTTAAGGAGTCACCTGTTTTTCACATTACTAGTCGCGGGCGATTTTACGTACCCAAAACGATAGATTACCCTTAGTTTACTTAGTAGAGTAGAGTTGCTCTCTTGCTCTCAGACACTGCTGAATAAAGTTAATTTCTGGCCTATATATCGGTATATTTAGCCATTGATTTAGGTTTATTATTCATTTATCTATAATATTTGACACAAACAGATCACATTGACAATGAGGTAACGTTTTCGTACATTAATAGCCGCGGGCGATTTTACGTACCCAAAACGATAGATTACCAAACTAAATAAGTAGTAAGTACTAAGTACTAGGGCCTAAGAGGCTAATAGAAATAGATCTATCTCTACTCTAGCTAGATCTAGAATCTAGTAGTTAGTAGTAAGTACTAAAACTAAATCTAGATCTAGATCTAGAACTAAAAAGTTAAATACTAAAAGTTAATCACTAAAAAAAGGATTGATTGCCAAATTTAAGTAGTAACCCTAGACATCTCTATAAGTATAAGGGACAAATAATAATCGTTTCCAGATCTAGAAATAGATTTTCTAGATCTAGAACCTTATAGTAGAATTTAGATCTAGATCTAGGAGTCTAGGAGTCTAGATCTAGATCGAATATCTAGATTCTAGATCTTGATTCTAATATCGTGATATTCAACTCACAGATTTCGAGTTTTATGGATTTTAAGAAAAGTAGTAAGAGTAGTTTCCCTTGCACTTCGTTTACACTTGTGACATGTATGAAGGATTTGACCTACTTATATGTACACATGTTACGCTGGACACAAAAACACGCTCCTTTTACAAGATTTTATTTAGTTCGCAACGTCTGACTGTTTGCTTCTTGTTTGTGGGTTTGTGGCAACTTTTGTAACTCAATTTTGACCTACTTCTAATGCAGCGATTTTGTTCAAACTTTCCAGATATGTTCCGAAATGTTCCACTTCGATGACAATACAAGTCTATTTTCTATTTTTAGCGCAATTTCCATACTGACAATTGCGATTATTAATTCGTTCTGGATGGATGTGTGTCCGCAGCTTTAAGTCGTATCTCCTCCTCAACGAAGCAATATCGAGGACTAGTTCCAAAAGCAAATATGTTAAGCAAGTTCCGAGGATGATTGTGTGTTAAACAAATTCCCGGAATTCCTTCCTGGATTTCCCGGAAAAGCCAAAAAACCTCGAAAAAATGCAGTTTTTGGCCCATATCTCGGCAACCAGACCACTTAGCGACTTGAAACGTTTACCAATCGATCCCTGCCATAATTTAGAACAATATTGCCGAAGAAAGTTTTCAAAAATATCCTTTCGTTCGGTCACAAAAAAATAATTAAGGAAATTGCGCTTAAATTGCCACTAGACTTTTTATTAACTTGTTTTAAATTTAATTAGATGTTTAATTGGTCATGAACGGTTCCGAAACTAAGGGGGGGGGGGGGGATAAAAATATATCATTCTATAGAATGCAGAAGGGGAGATAACTAGCTAGACGCGATCACCCTAACAACCTGGTGCAGTGTTTCTTCCAGACTTTTTTCTCCGGGAGTGCACTTGAAATTTTCGGGGGGGGGGGACACTGTCAAAAGTATATATTTTCTATATAAATTCCATTTCGTTTGGGGAGGGGGCGGTAGACTTTCTTCGGGGGGGGGGGGGGGGGGGGTTAGTGCCCTCCGAAGAGATGCCTGGTTGATCTAGTAGAGCCGGTTGATCTAGTGAAGGTTAGGATCAGATAATAAAGTTTTTAAACGATTTGAAACTAAGGGGAGGTAACAAGATTACGATCTTAATGTCGTCTGTATACTATGATCACGGACGGCTGCTTTCACGGGGCAGATAATCGTCTTTCAGATATCGCGAGCTACTGATGGCGTTTTAAAGCAAACGAGCTGACCCGCGACGTAGCATACGCCGCTATCAAGTTGTTTTATTTTCTACTTAACAATTCATAATTTGTGAATTCGACACTATCCCACCGCCCCGCCTCCCCTCCACTCCTGCACCCCCCCCCCCCCACGCTTTTTAAAATAGTTATTTAAATAGTAGTGTATAATTTATTTTCTACTTTTTAGTGCATTATTACATAAAAGCTTGTTATTAAAACGTTTTTTTATGAATTTTTTTTCAGTACTATACATGTTTTATATACAATAGTTACATGACTAAAAACATTGTCAGGTTGTAAAGTTTCAGAAAAATATTATGGGATGGCGTAGTCTAGTGGTAAAGAACTAGACTAGAACACGACCGTCATGACGCCCAACACGGCCGTCAAGACGCGGATAGAACTGCCTACTAATTCGGTCCAAATTTTAATTAATTCATAAAAAATTAATTAGGCATCCAATTAAGTCAAATTTAATGTCATACTGCATTGTCCCACGTACCAATTACAAACCGTATCTGTCAGTTAGAAGTGTCCGAATTTTCGCTCCGGCGTTTCGATCTAGACAGACAGACTGACGACAGAGGAAGTGAGTTAAATAAAAGCTTGCAATAAAGCGGCAGTGATCTCTCCTAACCTTTCTTGATTATTATCTATAATATAAGCGGCCAAGTAGTATGTCAGTCCTTCTGTCATCGCTATAGATGTTGGCACCATAAAAGTAGTGCATTGCAGCGTCTTCTATAAAATAGAGTAGGGTTTGTTTATATAACGACATAAAGTTATTTTATAGTTGCCACTGTTTTTAACTCTTTTGCATAACATAAAGAAAATATTAAATACACGCACATTGCTGAAACATATTAAAAGGATCAATGTCAAATATCATTTTCGTTTATATTCCCAGAAAAGGTGGAAACATTTTGATTACAGTAGTTCGAAAAAAACTAATTAATTCAACTTTTTTTTTTTGTAATTTTTGCAAGGGAGGTAATTTAAAAAAATTAACTCATCAATAATTGAAGTTATTTTTTTAAATTTAATACCGCATTGATTACTATATGTTAAGGTTCATAATTAAAATAGAAACATTTTAAGGTTATTTATATTTATTTTCTAATTAGTCTATGATTTCTCAAAATCACAATTTTTTGTTTTTGTTATTAAAACAGATGGTGAAATTAGACTTTTAGAGAATGCTGGAAATGCTCTCTCTGTGGACGGACGTTTGGAAAACGTGTTTTTAATATTCAACTCACTCTCAATAACTATTTTTTGTTTTTGTTTTTCGGTGTTAACAGATGGTGAAATTTTAGAATTATAATATAGAGAATGCTGGAAAGGCTCTCTCTGGGCGAGGACGCCTGGAAAAGCGTGTTTTTCGGTGGTGATTCTAATGTTGTGGTTGTATTGTGGTTGTGGCTGTGTTGTGATTGGGTTTTGGTTGTATTGTGGTTGTGTTGTGGTTGTGTTGTGGCTGTGGCTGTGTTGTAGTTGTGTTGTCGTTGTGTTGTGGTTGTGTTGTGGTTGTGTTTTTTTTGTGTTTGTGTTGTGTTTTTGTTTGTTTTTTATGCTGGAAAGGCTCTCTTTGGGCGGTGGCGCCTAGGAAAGCGTGTTGTTCGGTGGTGATTCTAATGTTGTGGTTGTGTTGTGGTTGTGTTGTGGTTGTGTTGTGGTTGTGTTGTGGTTGTGTTGTGATTGTGTTGTGATTGTGTTGTGGTTGTGTTGTGATTGTGTTGTGGTTGTGTTGTGTTTGTGTTGTGGTTGTGTTGTGGTTGTATTGTGGTTGTGTTGTGGTTGTGTTTTGTTTGTGTTTTTTGTTTGTTTTTTATATTGGAAAGGCTCTATTTGGGCGCGGGCGCCTAGGAAAGCGTGTTGTTCGGTGTTGATTCTAATGTTATGGTTGTGTTGTGATTGTGTTGTGATTGTGATGTGGTTGTGTTGTGGTTGTGTTGTGTTGTGGTTGTATTTTTGTTGTGTTTTTCTTTCTTTTGTTCTGTTCCCAAGTTGGTACATTTAAAAAAGATTTACCGTGGCGGAGCACGGGTATGCAGCTAGTACTTATATAACACTACTGGGAATGGAAACTTGGGGTATAGACATGTTTTTTAATCAATTTTTAATTACTTAAATTGCGCACTGCGTCAGCAAACGGTGCACCGTCAAACAGGCCCGGGACAAAATGGCACCGTCAAAATGGCACCGTCAAATCGAACCCCGACAAAATCGCCCAGTCAAAATAGTCGCGTCAAAAGGTCCCGGACATATTGGCTCCCGTCAAATGAGCTCCTGTCATATTGACTCGCGACATATAGGCTCCCAACAAATGGGCTCCTGACATTTAGGCTCCGGACATATTGGCTCCCGACAAATCGGCTCCCGACTAATGGGTTCACGACATATTGGCTCCCGACAAAATGACTCCTGACATATTGGCTCCAGATAAATGAATCGTGTGTCCACTATTGGCATTAAAGTAATCATTTATCCTACCTCCACTACCATTATAACCTCTTTTAAATGCCTGAATGATTTTTTTTCATGAAACAACAGCACTTCACAAACAAATCGAGCCCTTAACAGCTAAACTCCACCAATTTTAAAATTTTGTCAATGTACAGCATAGACCTCTCTCCCCAAACACTGAGTTGGAACAGCTGACAACCGACTCATTTATGGAAGTCATAGCTAGATGACCCTTAAATTTATAACATAACTTTTACTCTGTGCTACGGAAGATGAGCGGGATAGATGGAGCTCGACAGCTCAATACCCCATTAACAGTGCCGGCGCCAGGTTATTTAGCGCCCTAGGCAAAACTTATTAAAACGCCCCCCCCCCCCTCCCCCCGCAATTTTTTTTTCGGGTCCCCTAAATTCTAAATTAAATCAATCCATTGCAAAGTATATTCATCATGAGACTACAAATCACACACAGATAGGCTCGAACTCATTTCGGCTTGGAATAATCAAGTTTTAAAATTTCTTATTTACGATTTACGCCCAACGAAAATTATGAATAGTGTTCCTTCTTATTTGGCAAGTCGGTCAAAGACTATGAATCAAGGAATGTAATGGTTTCCCGTGTCCTTTTTTGGCGTTTCTTTTTTTTTTTTCTTTTTTTTTTTTTTTTTTTTGGATTTATACTATTAATTTGGAATTAATTCCTTTTTATAGCTTAGTCATTCGTCAGGATGCTTAATTTTAATTATTCTTAAGAGAAGACTTTTTAGTTTTAATTCGCTTGGTAAAAAACTATTTTAATTAGTTTTATCGCCACCCCGATTCGACTATTTAAAGGAGAGAATAAGCCATGGTAGCGGTTTAAAGATTTGCCTATCTTTCATACTACAACTTATGTAGTTTTTTTTCTCTACGCGTCAGTGTGTTTTAGTTACTGTAGAAACAATCGCATTTTCACCAACGTGAAAACTTATATATAGGTTTAATTTGAAGACGGGGCGCAAAATTGATAGTTCATCCTGGGCACCGAATAGATCGCTACGCCTTTGTATATAGTTAATGTAATCTAATCAAAGTTATAAATTATTAGGTACTTTGTAATAATTGCGATTTCACATTTTTGCGCCCTCCTACGGACAGCGCCCGAAGCGACCGCCTAGTTCACCTTATAGGTAGCGCCGGCCCTGCCCATAAAAGACCAAACGAGGCCTTATCTACTCTGAATTCGTTCGCGCCCAGACCCTCAATGGTTTTTACAATGACTTGGGGAAAGTGAAGCGTTTGCTATGCCATATTGACCTTCGCCATGAAAGAGTTGCTAATGAAACTTCCTTACCCGAGTCTCCAACCTTTTGTTCGAGTTGATGGCGGCCATTGCAAAAAGTGGTGTCCGGCGGATTCCGGACGAGGACTGTATTTCTTAT